TGGGAGACTAGAGGGAGACTGAGGCATGGTGAGACCCTATAAAGGGCATTTGTATGTCTGTCAGTTTGTCTCTCTCTTTCTCATGGAAGAAAGAAATTTTTTAAAAACTTGCTGTAGGGTACATGCACTCACCAGAGACAGAGAGTGAGAGAGACAAAAACAGGGAAAATGAGAAGGCACTCACTTGAGAGAGTCCAAGAGAGGGAAAGTGTTTTTCTCAGAAAGCATCCCCAAGGACAATGGCCATGTCACAATACTTTTCTCCTCCATTCTCCTTTTGGGATTTTGGGCATACATATAACATGCACCCCAACATGTTTTCAAGCTGCTGAGTCCAGGACTTGAACCATATAGTTGGTCCTGTGGGATCCAGCTGCCTTTACCACCAGCCACCAGGTGACTCTCCCCTGAGATTCTTTATTGAATAGATTCACTTGTGAAATTTTCTTCTCCTTCTCTTGGCATGGGCCTACTATGTCTGATTTTCTTCTCTTCTTTGCTTTCTATCCATCTCCTTTACTGAGCTGCTTCTTTCATCCACCGCTAAAAATAACAGTAGTCTTTCCAGCTTATTTCCCTGGCCCATTTCTCTTCTCACCGCACATAGAACCCACTGTCACTTTCTCCCTTCTTTTCAATATAACCTTTGCAAAGGTGATTTCCATAGGTGAGTTCTAACCTTGACCTCCTGTTTAAAAGAAAAAAAAAAAAAAAACTAAAAACCCTGAAAAACCACCTTTTAAAACACCTAGCTCTTACATAAGTACTTCAAATTTAAGAAATCCAAGATCAAATTCATCTTATTCTTGTTTGCTCCAAATCCATTCCTCCTTTTGCATTCTCTGTCTTGGCTCTTGACACGACATTGCCACCTCCTCAATTCTTTACTCTGAACACTTGAACATCATCTTCAGTCTTATTTTCCTTTCCAACTCCTATAGCTAACTGTGTGTTAAAACTCTATTGATTTGTTCTCCAGAGTGGCAATGTCTTCCTATGATCATTACTTTTCATTTAGAATATTGCTATGACATTTTAAGGGATCTTCCTTCAATCATCCCACATGCTGCCACCTCCTTAATCCTTTTTTATTAATTGCCGAGGGCATATGCACTGACCAGAGAGAGGTGGGGAGAGAAAGAACTCCCAATGGTGCCTGGCCATACCACAATCCTTTTTCCTTCACTTATCCATCCCAGAAGGATTTGGGGCACACATGTGCAGTGTATTTTTCAAGTCACTAGGACCAGAATTCAAACCGTGGTTGGTCATATGGAATCCAGCTCTCAATGCACAGTGTTTAACCATGGTATTATAGGGGCAGGCCTGCTAACTCTGCTTTAAAAGGCTTTGGTTAGCTACTCCTTGCACACAGGTTGAAAAAATAATAAATAAATAAATAAATAAAAGCAAAAAAAAACCAGATTATACTACTTGGACTTTGAAGTTCTATATAATCTGGAACAAAGTATAAACTTTCCTATTTTTTCTCCACAATTTCTTTCCTATAGGACAACTTAGTGCTCAAAACTAACCTTTCCTTTATTTCTCCTGCCCTTTATCTGATCTTCACCTATAGTACTCACTACATCCTGCTGTTAGAGCTATTTGTGTTGTCTGGTTTTAGATAGTGAGTCTCTGGAAAGCTTGTTCCCATTGCTGTGCTCACTATTGTACCTTTACTGTGATAAGCCCTCCATAAATGTTTGTGGAATAAAAAGTAGTTATAGCCCTTGCTTCTGCTCAATAATTTTTAGTTCAAGGAAGGCCTTTGGCAAAGCTATTAGGTAATGCTCCGAGGACATTCTGCCTTTCTTCCTCTCCACTTTCTTTCATTCAGAGATGCTCGTTGTCCTCACCTTTACTCCTGCCATCCCAGATCTCTTCCTAGGGTACCTACATAGAACACTCCTTTTGAGCAATTCCAGCCTCAGGTCTTTCTTTTCCCAGTCTTTCACTAAAATCTATACGCTCTGGGGATCGACTTTAGATACCAGCCTTTTCATTTTATAGATCAAGAAAAAGTGTCAAGAAGGTGGCTTGCATTGTCCAGCGTCTTAAGATTGACTAGCAGTAGAGCTGAGACAGACCCCAGGTCTTCTCATTCTGAGTCCATTGCCCTTTTCTTCACACGCTGCTGCCCACCCAGCATATCAACCCCAGCCTCAGATTGCTCCGTGTTAAGGACCAGCAAGGTCAAAACCCCTATAGTCAATCATCCCCAGTAAGCATCTCTCTGAACAAAGTATCAGTGCTCTAACTCACAGTAATGAATACTAAAGAAAGTTCACATTAGTATTCATATCTCTCCTGTTGTTATTTTGGTCAGAACACTTTTCCTAGCTTCTGAATTCATAAATTCTGCCTCCGCTGGGATACGTAAGGTCTGCACATTTGCCACAATGTACTTTCTTATGACTGTGCGGTTTAGTGATATTCTCTGTCTGACACAATTCTCCCACACTGCACAGAAACCATGGCAGCAGAACTCCAGAGCACCTCCCTGCAGTTTTACAACTTCCTGGTTTTTTTAATGAATGTGTTGTAATTTCTGTGAAGGGTATGTAGAGTCCTTAAAAACATTCGTGAATGGACCTTTTCAACATCACTTGGAAGGAAGTCAGAGACTTTAACTATTGAAACTGAGCCAACACAGTAATGAAACTCAGTGGCCGCCACACAGGAGATATATGAATGCCTCAGGCCAGAAACAAGGCCAGTAGAATCAGCCAAGGGCAGTTACGTCCACAAAATGCATTTCTCTGAATAGGAACTCAGTTGGTTTTCAAAGAATGATAGTATCCTCCCCCCCCCAAAAAAAAAAAGTTATGTTTTTTTTTATTTTTAATCATTCTTAACCAAGAATCTAAACTTAAATTCTATTTTAGTTTGGTATTGGTGCTGGATTTTAGGGGAAAATCTGATTGGAATAGATTATTCTACTGAGTGATGATCTAAGGAAGCACTGCAATTTTTTTTTTCCAGGTGGAAGAAAGAAGCACTGGCAGCTTGCCTTCTCTGCAAGCTTTGGTTATGAATTATAGGTCACTGACACTTAAAGTGACCATATAGCACATCTAATCTGATTCAGTATTTTATAGGAGAAGAATTAATCCCCGTTAACCTGATAGCACAGAAATTGTCTATCCTGTTTTATGAAAATCACTCTACTCCAGAAACAGGAATTAATGGAGTAGGATGTTGGGCACTAAATTATAGCTGTTATATCACTAGGACTAAGTGTGTACGCAGTCCTGACAGAAATGAATGCTCTGAACCCCATCTAGTTGCCTTCCTTTATTCCTGTATCATTTTCTCTCTCAAAGTGGATGACTTCTTCAGGTTTTCTTTGAGAAGCATGTGAATGCCTATAGTCCTCTGTGCCAACATTAAACTAATTCCTTTTTGGTTTGTACTTCTTAGAAAAATAACTACATGGACTTCAACAGTCTCCTTGGAGACAGGTCTATCTTTTTTTCTTTCTTTCTTTTTAAATTTTTCCAGAGGGCACATGTGCTCACCAGGAGAGAGAGGGAGAGAAGTGAGAAAGTACCTCCTATGGAGAATGCATTCAGCAACCTCCTTGCAACCATCTCTCCCTCCTTTTTAGGATTTTGGGCACACATGCACATATGGCCAATGCATTTTTCAAACCACTGAGTCTAGGACTCAACTGCACAGCCATATGAGAGCCAGCCACCTTAATCATCACACTACTGGTTGAAATCAATCTCTTTTTTTCTTATGATAGCACATGTGCATGCATGCAAAGTGGGGAGGGTGCCCTCAAAGTGTCTCCTCACAGATCAATCAATCACCTTTCTCTAGCCCCCCAGCTTGTTAGGATCCTGAGCGCGACTGTCTTTCAGTTCACCTGAGGATTCTAACCATAGTCCACCCTGTATCTTCAGGCATTGCAGTTCAGTATGCTACTCACTGTGCCACCAGGCTGGGCCAGAGACATACCAATTTTCTTCATTGAGAAAAAAAAAAGGATAAGACCTATTCTTTTAAGAAGGCATTTGTGACTACCTAAGTAGACAATGTATGGAAGAGCAGTTTCAAAAACAGAATAACCCAGGTCATTCTATTTAAGTACACATTCCATTTGTTCCTTCAGCAAATATTTATTAAACACTTACTACTTGCCAGGTCCTTGCTAGTTACCGGCTATATAAAGTGAAATTAAATGAGATTCCCAACCCTCTGGGAACTTACAATGATTGTTTGTTCCTGATCCTGGCAAGCTGCCCTTCTTCAAAACCAGCTGAAAGCAAACAAAACCCGACTAGGTCAGGTTCCTCTCCTATGTTATGTCATAGGACTCTGTCCTTTCTTTTCTTCATTAGATTACTACATTTTCAGCTGAACAGTTGCTTACTGCGGCCATCAACTACCAGAATTTTAGCTTCATTGGAATAGGTATTTCCTCCTTCGTTCTCATTTATTCAGCATTTGCATGACTGGCAAAGAAAAAACGAATAAGTATTTCTGGAATGGGCGTATGAACAAACGGATTAAAAAAAAAAAAAAGCCACGTATGAGTAAGGTTCAACATAGCAGGTACTGTATCAGGCTTGCATAATACTATGGGAATTTATAGCAGGAGCATTTAGAGCCAGCCTTGACGGGGCTGAAGATCTTTTCAAAATCTCGTACTTGGTTGGAGAGGACGTCTAAACCGCTGGCCCGCCACTAGCGTAAAACGGATTAATCTGTGAACTGCCAGGATCTTGCCAATGGTAGGACATCCATCGGTAAGACTGGTTGAATGACTCAAAAGGCCTGCGCGGACCAAGTCCAATGAGATCATCTCTGGCTAACTGCCAGGGTGAATGAAAGGGTTCGTTGCCGAGCGCAAATGCCAGAACTGGGACAGAAAAATTCTCCCCGAGCCTCCACGTAGAGGCCGGATCCCGGCGAAGCAGCCCAGACGCTCACGTGATGCGGGCTGTCCCGCGCAGGCGCAGCGCACCCGGGCGGCGGACCCGAGGGCGCTGACAGCTTCCGGTGTGGTCCCCCCGCCTCCTGCGTGGCCAAAGCTGTTGGGGTTTGCCGGTGGCCGCTGTGGGGTGGTGGGGGGCAAGACGTGGTGAGGTGAAGTGAGTGCCCCAGTGGCTTTCCCGGAGTCATGGCCTGCTCCATTGTCCAGTTCTGCTACTTCCAGGACCTCCAGGCCGCCCGGGACTTCCTCTTCCCTCACCTGCGGGAGGAGACCCCCAGCGGCGCCCTGCGCAGGGACCCCAGTAAGTGCCCTTCGCCGTGGCGGTTCCTTCCCCTGCCCCGCGCAGCGTCTACCCGGGGGCTCTGCGCCGCCTGCCTCCGCCTTCTGGGCTCTGGTTTACCGTCCCCCGCCCCCTGGATCGCCCTTTGCGCGCTGGGACCACCAGCTCCCTGTCCGCCGCCGCAGCGTCGCTGTTTTCCTCTGGCCCCAGCTTTTCCTCTTAGCCCCTCTGCCCTCTGGGCAGACTGCGTCTGGCTTCCTCTCATCTCTGCCTATCAGCGCTTCCCCACCTCTCATTGCCGGCTTTCTTCCCGATGTCTTCTCCATTCCCCCCTCCCGCCATCATGGGGTCCCCTGTTCTGTACTGTCTGCTCCGTGATCGCCTCCTCTTCCCCGTTTTTTGCCAGATGTCAGCGCTCCAACCTGACATTACCCCAACGCCCACTCTTCTCCCACCCTGGGACTGTGGCCTTCTGTCACCTCCTGTTCCAAAAGCCTATCATACCCCTCTCCCTTCCTCCATTCCCTTTTCCCCATTCAGATCTGCAGAATAACTAGCTGATTGACAAGTGGCTGACTCTTAAGGTGGTGAGTAAGCTTCACTCAGATGCGGAAAATAAGCTGTCAGGAAGTGATCCAGGATGAGAATCTACATTAGGGACTAAAAATACATTGGCATGGCCAAACAAAGTTGATTTGCTTAATTGAGGTGAGAAACTTTCTACCTTCTATTATCATCAAACTGTTAAGTAAGTCCTTGCCTATGTAGTTTTAAGATCCCACGGATGACTTAATAGACTTTTGCATAGTTCCTCAGAATTCCCTATATTTCTTTTTTTAAATATGTTTTTTGTTTTTTTGTTGTTTTGCATTTCCAATATGAAGCACATTTAGCTTTGTAATACAGTACTGTCACTTAGTGCTATACTAGGATGGCAATGCAAGGCTCACTAAACAAACTGCTCCCCCTTTCAACATTTAGAATAGTTAAAACTTGAAATGAATGAATATTGACTTTGTGCTAATCACTGGTCTTATGAATCATGTAAGGTTGGTGGGCCTTGCCCTCTAGGAGTTTATGGTTTCCTAGGAAGGACAGAGACATAAATCATAGCTACCATACAGTGTGATTGAAATATATGTGAGGCACTTTTTTGAAGTGGTGATACTTAAGTCTACCTTTGAAGTAGTAGTTAGAGGACTAAGGGAGAGTTAAGAGTATGCCAGAGGTAGAAAACCTGAATGGCGTGGTATTTAGAGAACTAAGAAAAGCCAAGTGGCTGGAGAGGAGAGGAGGATATGGAAAGAGGGGGGAGATGCAGTTGTGATAGTAATAAGGAGCTACGTCATAGAAGCCTGTGAAGGTTGTCAGTTTTCTGTGAAGGACTTGAAACAAACAAATGATATGTGCTTAATGTAATTAACAGAATTTATGAATACCTTTAATGTGCTCTGGCAGCAGTGTGGAGGAGAGATAGGAAACAGAGAAATTTGTTAGGAAGCCGTTCCAATTTTCCAAGCAAGAAGTGAACTCAAATTCTTATAGCTTTAGTGGGATTTGAGAAGAAGGAAAGATATTAAGATATTAGAAAGATATTAAGGATGTAGAACCTGCAGGACTTAGTGAAGGTCTGGTCATGCTGATTGTAACTGGTGAGTGAAAGGAGTTTGGGATACCTTTAGCCTTTGGCCTGGACCAGATAAACACATGTACAGAGAGGGAGAGTCAGAATATTTGGAGATAATTTGGGTATTATACTATCATGGATCTCTTACCTAATGGTAAAAATCATTTCCAGTTAACATACTAAAAATGCAGAGCATCTTTCCTCTTTGCCTCTTTTACTGAAAGGTAGAAGATAAAGCATATAGAGAATTATATTGGAGTCATTAATTAAAGTCATGTTTTTATGCAATCACTGGGAAAAGTATGCTTTTTTAGGATAATCTACAATCATGATAGGCTATCACAAAGGGTAGAAAGTATACAATTTTTATATGTAGTGAAAATGCTTTCTCTAACTGGACTTCATACTGGGGAGAGAAAAATGATATGAAAGAAGAAATGCATCCATTTTTAAGTTTGTTCATTTATTTCTTCCACAAGAGAGACAGAGAAACAGAGACAGTACCTTCAACAGGGTCTTCATGCTGCAATCCACTTCTATGACCAGCCAGCCTGGATCATTGGTGAGTGAACATTGCACACAGCATGCTCGGCAAGATCCTAGGATGCAAACCTAAAAAGTTTCCCATGTGGATACAGTTGCATTACCACTGGGCCTCTACCTGGCCTTTGAAAGGAATTTCAGAAAGTACATAGTTGTGGATTTCATTAAAGTTGGAAGAGGATCTTACAGTGAAAAAAATATTTTTAATTTACTTGTTTCTTACATGAGTAAAAGAGACAGAGAAACACCACTCCTAAGGTCTTGATGCCTTGATCCATCTTGAACTATAACCAGCCCCAGACCATGGGGGCACACATTCCCAGCATACTCAGAGAGGTCTTTGGGTGTGGACTTGGAACCTATCCATGTAGGTGAGCCTCAGATTGTCACATTATACTGATGTACCATCATTCAGCATCCCCAAAATTTGTCAGTAAGGAAGTAGAGGCTTGAGTGTGTTTTTTGTTTTGTTTTGTTTTGTTTTAGAGAGATTTTTGCCATAGAGCACATGTGCTTGCCAGAGAGACAGAAAGCAAGAAATCACTTCCCCAGAGAGTATGGCCACACTGCAGTCCCCTCTCCTCTGTTCTCCTCCTGGGATTTTGGGCATGGTCGCACATGCACCACAGTGCGTAAGCCTTCGGGTCCAGCACTCACACCACAGTTGCCCGGGTGGGAGTCTAGCGACGTAACAATTACACCATCTTCTGGGCCCCTTTAGTGTTCTTAATTCAGCTAGTATTTACTGAGTACTGGCTAATATTTTACTAGGCACAAAATAAGTTTAAAGGTAAATAAAGTTGGTCCTTCTCAAGTTTTCAGCTAATAGAAGACAAGGGTGTAGAAGGAGTGCTAGAGGTGTTATGCTGTGATTTGGTACATGGAGGAGGATGAAGGAGTGTTCATTATGTACGCAAAGCCTAGGAAAGAGTAGGTGACATTTTTACATCAGTAGTTTAATTCATATCTGTCATATGGAGAGGAAATTATCTGACAAAGGATGGGAAAAGCATGTGGCTCAGAAAGCTGCAAATAGTACATTGTAGTGGGAAGGTAGGGTGTGTTAAGAAGTAAAGCTGAAAAGGTCAGTGGAGGAGTTTAGCTTTTATTCAGTAACAGGATCTTCAGATTAGCATGAGTACCTTAGAGTCACCTGGAAATTTGCCAAGAGTTACTTGGGAAGTTGTTTTAGGTGAGTCGTTTTCCATGTATACCTGTAAGAGTGCCTGCTTTCTCACCCTGTCACCTACCACTTGACTAAAGAAAGGCTCTCCTTTCACACATTTCTAATCTCATTACAGTAAGTTACTCCAAGGTCTTAAAGAACTTGCCCTTTAAACAAGGTGCTATAAATTCCCCTCTTTATCTTGTTAAGAGATTTCCAAATAATTTTTACTTTTTACATTCAATAATTATCAACACTTGTGCTATCTTTATTTTGTTTCCCTCAGTTACATGTTTCTAATAATATTTGCAATAAGTCAAGCAAGAATTTTTTTTTAAATTTTCAATGTTTAAAATTTTATAGTCTTATCATAGGAAAACTTTTTTCTCAATTCATACTCCTTTTTTCAGAGAAATTTTTGGACTGATAATAAAATCTATATTACATTAGGATAGCATTTTGGGGCAGAAATGAAATAGAAATAAGAATACAAGGAGGAAAAAGGAATTTAAAAAATTGTTGAGGTTACCATCATATTTTTTGATGGGTATTGGTAGGTATCATTTCTCTGCAGTATTTAGAATCTATTGAATATAATTTTTAAAGTAACAGTAGTTTTATTTTTAAATGTCCATGTTTGGAGATTGGCAAAAATTATATATTTTGTGCAAAGAATACATACTACTTAAAAACTCCTGAGAGGGTTAACAGGTGGCGAGGAGGTTAAAGCGGCTGGATCTCGGGACCAGCAGTTGACGTAATGGCTATGTCATCGGACTCCCATGTAGTCGACCATGGTTCGAGTCCCGGACTCGTTGGCTTAAACTCATGCGGGGTGCGTGTGCATGCATGCCCAAGATCCCAAGAGGAGAATGGAGGAGAAGGTATTGCAACATGGCCATTCCTCCCGGGGTGGGTGATTTCTCACTTTCTGTCTGTCTTTCTGGTGGGGCGGGGGCACAAAGACAAAAAACCTCAAAAAAAAAAAAAAAAAAAGTGGCTGAATCTCACCTGGCCTACTTCACAGTTCAAGACCTGGACCCATGGGGTTGAAAATCATGCCAAGTGCATGGACCCAGAATCCTGAGAGGAGAATGGAGAGTAAGGGACTGTCATGTGGCCATCCCCTGGAAGGGGGATTTACTCTCTCTCTTTGTTTCTCTCTTTCTCTTTACAGTGAATGCATGTGCTCTATAGCAAAACAAAAACAAAAACAAAATTCTTGGGGCATATGTGAGCAAAAAGTTTAAAGACCATTCTCTTGTGGGCCTCAGTGTCTCTCTTTCCATGTTTCTTTCTTTCTTTCTCTCTTTCTCTCTGTCTCTCTCTGTCTCTCTCTCTCTTTCTTTCTTTCCATCATAGTATAAATAAATTAGACATGGACCCCAAATAGCTAAAACAATTTTGGAAAAGATGAAAAAGTTGCAAGACTCACCCTTCCTTATTTCAAAACATATTACAGGGCCAGCCAGTAGTATGATTTAGACAGCTGTGCCCACTTGGCTGACTGTGTGGTTCAAGTTCCAGACCTGGTGACTTGAAAATCATGCCAGGCACACATACATGCAGGCCAAAATCCTGAAGGGAGAAATGGAAGAGAAGGAATTGGGGCATGGCCATTCCCCATGGAGGGCACTTTCTTTCTTTCCCTCTTTCTCTTTCTCTTTCTCTTTCCTCCTTCAGCAA